GATAGGAGTAGGAGTAGGAGTCAAGCTAGCCAGCTCGAGCGAGTCAAGCATGGCATGCCCAGTCCCACCCGCCCTCCCACAACATAAGAAGCAAAGCTGGCACAACTGGGGGCCGAAGTCACACCGGCCAGCCGGTTTGGTACAGCTGATGCGGCCGCGATGGCGGTTGCCGACGGGAACTGGCGAGCGCGTGTTGAATGCCGCGCACGCATTGCCAGACGAGTCGAGAATGGCCCGGTACACCGCAGGAAGCCAGAGGTGGCCGGAGGAAGCCCGACGATTTTGCGACGTGGACGACAGGACGTCCATGCTGAGAGGAAAAACGTTGGTGCGCGGCGCCGAGGCGAGAGCGACATGTCACCCCTCCGCGAGGGGTGTGCGCCGCGTCCCATTCCTGCCACGCATTTTGCGACGTGACGACAGCACGACCATGTTGACAAGAAAAACAACAACTGTGTATTGTCTTTTGCAGATTAGAATGGGACGGATTGGATGGGCGGGCGCGGGGTGTGCGCCGCGTCCCATTCCTGCCATGCATTTTGCGACGTGGACGACAGGACGTCCATGCGACGGTGCCAATGACGGCGACGACTCTAGAAGGATTTGAGCATGCGCTCGCGGCGACGCGCGCGCATGTCGCCCGCGTGGTATTTTTTGCACAGGATTCGCGGCCTGGGTGCATGACAGAGCATCGCGAGTGCACCGCGCGATGACGTGAAATCGCTGGTTTTGACCGAATTCTTAAGATTCCTATGGTTTTCCTATGATTTCAGCAAGAGAGCCCGGGCAGAAAATGTGTATAGTTTTTGTGAAAAAGCATTGGGTTTTGATGTTTTTATGTTGAGATGCTTGCAAACACACGGTGTTCGGTAGGATTCTGACATGAACGCGCGCGTGCGCTCTTTGTGGTTTTTTTGCAATGCATTATCGCCGTGGACGACAGGACGTCCATGTCGAGAGGAAAAAAAAAGAAAAATGTTGATTTTGTATTTTTTTACAGGTTAAGATGGGACCACCCGGATGGGGCCCCTATCTGCTGGCCTGAGGGGGGGAGTAGGAGTATATTCTAATAAGAAATAAGGATAGGAGTAGGAGGAGGAGGAGGAGGAGGAGGAGGAGGAGGAGGAGGAGGAGGAGGAGGAGGAGGAGGAGAGTAGGAGGAGGAGGAAGAGGAGGAGGAGGAGGAGGAGGAGTGAGGAGGAGGAAGAGGAGGAGGAGGAGGAGGAGGAGGAGGAGAGGAGGAGGAGGAGGAGGAGGAGGAGGAGGAGGAGTAGGCCTCCGGGACCCGCAGGACGACGTGCTCGTCCTCCACAGACAGTGGAGCTGCCCGCTGCCCGACGGCACGGCGTCCACTGGGACAGTCAAGAGGCAGGCCGTGGGGCAGCGGGGGACACCTTCCCTTCTCGTCGAGGTTGAGAGGGAGGAGGAGGAGGAGGAGGAGGAGGAGGAGGAGGAGGAGGAGGGGGAGGAGGAGGAGGAGGAGGAGTTAGAGGGGAGGAGGAGGAGAGGGAGGAGGAGGAGCAAGAGGAGGAGGAGAGGGGAGGAGGAGGAGGAGGAGGAGGAGGAGGAGGAGGAGGAGGAGGAGGAGGAGGAGGAGGAGGAGGAGGAGGAGGAGGAGGAGGAGGAGGAGGAGGAGGGAGGAGGAGGAGGAGGAGGAGGAGGAGGAGGAGGAGGAGGAGGAGGAGGAGGAGGAGGAGGAGGAGGAGGAGGAGGAGGAGGAGGAGGAGGAGGAGGAGGAGGAGGAGGAGGAGGAGGGAGGCGTGGAGGAGGGAGGAGGGGGAGGGAGGAGGGGCGAGGAGGAGGAGGAGGAGGAGGAGGAGGGAGGAGGAGGAGGAGGAGGAGGAGGAGGAGGAGGAGGAGGGAGGAGGAGGAGGAGGAGGAGGAGGAGGAGGAGGAGGAGGACGGGGAGGAGCAGACTGAGCGCGCGCGCTTGGACTTTGTTTTTAATGACCAAAACGCCCAACGTGCATACGTCGACGTCTGCGTCCCCGCTGCTTCTTCCACCTGCCCCGAGCTCCTCCGTGCGCGAGCAGCGCGGGATGGCGCGGCAGCCGCGCGGGCCGAGGACGGCAAGCGCCTCCGGTACCCAGGGCCAGACCTCGTGCCGTTTGCCATCGAGGCTTTGGGCCGACTGGGGGACGACGCCGTGGCCCTTCTCCGCGCGTGCGCGCCGGAGGACCCAGTCGAGCGGTCTCGGGTCCTTGGCTCGGCCTGGCAGTCGCTCTCTGCGCTGCTGCAGACGCGCAACGCGGAGCTGTTATTGGCAGCAGAATCGGCTTGATTGTTTTCGCCTCATCCATGTTGGTTCTGTGTTTGATTCCGTAGCCGTGATGGCTTACTCTCCTCCCCCTCCTCCTCCTCCTCCTCCTCCGCCGCGTCCTTCTCCCTTTCCCTCCTCCTCCTCCTCCGTAGTCGTTTTGGCTACGCCCGCGCGCGCTGCGCGCTCGCCGCGCGCTCGCCTCTGCTGCCCGCCTCCAGCGCCTCTTCTCCCTCTCCCTCTCCTTCTTCTTCCCCGCTCCCTGCCTCCGGCGCGGGCGCGCGCGCGCGCGGCGCCTAACGGTGGGGTCCGGTGGCTCACGCCCCACGGCCGCGCCCGCGTCTCCACCGCCTCCGGGTTCCTTCCGGCTCCTTCTTCCCCTCCTGCCGCGTCCTCCAGCTCGGTGACCAGCTGTGCGGCTCTGGGGTGGCGTCAAGTCGATGCTGTCCCAGGAGCCACTGGAGTTGTTGACGGACTGTCGTCTTCCTCTCACCTTCGCTTCTTGTCCGCTTTTTCTTGTCCCTTGCACGCGTCTTGCCCGCTTTCCCCTTCTTTTCGGCAGGAGGAGGAGGGGGAGGAGGAGGAGGAGGAGGAGGAGGAGGAGGGGGAGGGGGAGGAGAAGGAGGAGGATGAGGAGGAGTAGGTCGAAGAGGGATGAGGAGGCTGAGGACGAGGACGGCGACGAAAACTGGGATTATCAGGAGGAGGAGGAGCAGGATGAGGATGAGGATGGGGGTGACCTTGAGGATGAGGATGAGGAGGAGGGTGATGATGAGGATGAGGATGCTGATGCTGATGCTGGTGCTGGTGATGATGATGATGATGCTGATGATGAGGGTGATGATGCTGATGCTGATGATGATGCTGCTGATGCTGATGATGATGGTGCTGATACTGATGCTGATGATGATGCTGATGCTAATGATGCTGATGTTGCGTGATGAGGATGCTGACGATGATGACGGTGATAACGATGGCGACGACAATGATGATGACGATGATGATGATGATCATGGTGATGATGATGGTGGTGATGGTGGTGGTGATGGTGGTGATGCTGCTAATGGCGATGTTGATGCTGATGCTGATGGTGATGGTGGTTGTGATAAAGATATGGATGCTGATGCTGACGCTGGTGCTGCTGATGCTGATCATGCTGATGATGATGCTGATGAAGGTGAACATGTTGACGGTGGTGCTGATGAGGATGATGCTGCTGCTGATGATGATGCCGGTGACGATGATGATGATGCTGTTGCTGATTCAGCTGCTGCTGCTGATGATGATGATGACTACGATAATATTATCGATGATGATGATGCTGATGCTGATGATGCTGATGATGATGGTGATGATGATGACCACGACGATGACGATGCTGATGCTGGCGATGATGACGACGTCGATGTTCATGAGTATGATGATGATGGTGGTTGTGACGAAGATGATAATGATGCTGATGATATGGTGACGATGATGGTGCTGATGATGATGACGATAATGATGATGGTGATGATGATCATGCTGATGCTGATGCTGCTGCTGATGATGGTGATGGCGATGGTGATGATAATGAGGAGGATGATGCTAATGATGACGATGCTGCTGATGATGATGATGCTGCTGATCATGATGTTGCTGCTGATGATGATGCGGATGCTGATGATGACAGTGGTGGTGGCGATGATGATGCCGATATTGATGATGAGGCTGCTGCTGATACTGATGCTGATGGTGATGCTGATGATGCTGCTGCCGATGATGATGATGACGATGATGCTGCTGCTGATGATGATGATGGTGCTGATGATGCTGGTGATGACGACGCCGCTGCTGATGACGATGACGATGACGATGACGACGATGATGGTGCTGATGATGATGTTGGTTTTGGTGGTGGTGATGCTGATGCTGATGATGCTGCTGTTGATGCTGTTGATGATGCTGATGCTTATATTGATGGTTAGGGGGATGAGGCTGATGCGGGAGCTGCTGACACGGGTTATGCTGATGATGCTGATGATGATGCTGATGCTGCGTGGTGATGATGATGGCGATGTTGTTGATGATGATGACGATGATGATGCTGCTGCTGATGATGTCGATGCTGCTGCTGATGACGATGATGATGTTCATGCTGATGATGATGGTGAGGATGATTATGGTGATGGTGATGGTGATGGTGGTGATGGTGAGGATGGTGGTGGTGATGCTGACGATGATGACGATGATGCTGCTGCTGATGATGATGCTGATGCTGATGATGCTGATGATGCTGATGAAGCTGCTGCGGATGATGATGATGGCGATGATGATGCTGATGACGATGATGAGGAAGATGGTTATGGTGGTGGTGATGGTGATGATGGTGCGGATGATGCTGCTGCTGATGATGATCATGTGGAAGCGAACATGTAAGTATGAGGAGGAAGAGCAGGCGGAGGAGGAGGAGGAGGAGGCGGAGGAGGAGGAGGCGGAGGAGGAGGAGGAGGCAACCTGCTCCCTGATCCTGCCAGGCCAGGCTCTCCCCCCTCCATTCCTCCCAGGGACGGCGTCTGGGGGCACATTTTTATGGATGGGTCCTGCACGAGGCATCAGGTCAGGGAGTTGTCTAGGGCGGGGTGGTCTGTTGTTATGGTCTCGGAGTCTGGGGAGCAGCTAGGGGTTATCAAAGGCCCCCTCTGGGCTCCGTGGCCCCAGACCCCCCAAGCCTCTGAATTTTGGGCCCTCGCCTGGACTGCGCTGTATACCGAGGGCCCAGCTCAGTGCTACTCAGAGTGTGCGAATGTTGTGCTGTTGCAGAATCTTGGTGGCGCCGAGGCCATAGGCCCAGCCCGTCAGTATGCTGGCTTCGTCATTCAAGCTCGCCATCATGTCGGCCGTTTTTGCGAGGGCTTCCGCAAAGTGGCTGCCCACAAAGATGCGGAGGAGGAGGGTTTGTCGGCGGAGGAGCGCTTTCGGAGGTTGGGGAACGCGTATGCCGACGCAGCGGCGAAGGATGGTGCGAGGCGCCATCCGACTATGACGCCGACGGAGGCTGAGGATTTAAGTCGCACCTTAACGATTGCGAGGGTTGTGTTGCTGGGCGGAGCGGCGTTGCTCCCGCTCTGGCCCAAAGTCGAGTTCCGTGGCTTAGAGCGAGTCCAGCCGCCTAAGCCACCGCGTTTATCTCTGCTCGTGCTTGAGCACGATTGGGAACGCCAAGGAAGTTTCTGGAGGTACCGAGTGTGTTTGCGAGGCTCCAGAGCTTCATCCCGGCCGTGTGGCGGTTCGGAGTGTGCGGGCCGCAGCAGGCTCGACAGGTGTGTTCTGGAGCGTCTCGGGCATCGGGTGATTGCGTTCCCATGCTCTGATAATTCCTTCCTGTTCCTGTGCATGTCGTGCAAGTTTTATAGCAGCGGTGGAGTTGTGTTTGGCCTTGGGCGCAAGTGCGCTCCTCCTACGGTGTCTGGCGTGAAGAACATGCGGAAGCTCCGTAAAGGCCTGCACCCTGATAAGAAGGGTGTGTTCGTCGACATCGACGAATTCATCCCGCTGCTATAAGGTACAGGTTCAGTGCCTGCCAGTTGCGCCTCTGGACTGGTTGAGCAGATACTGTGCACAGAGGCCGCGGCGTTGCTGCCAAAAAAAGAGGAGGAGGCGGCGGCGGAGAAAGAGAGGAGGAAGCGGGAGGAGGAGGAGGAGGAGGAGGAGGAGGAGGAGGAGGAGGAGGAGGAGGAGGAGGAGGAGGAGGAGGAGGAGGAGGAGGAGCAGGAGAGGAGGAAGACGAGGAGGAGGAGGCGGAGAAGGATGAGGAGGAGGAGGAGGAGGAGGAGCAGGAGGAGGAGTGCGCCTCGATACGGGCAGGATCCGAGGAGGAGGAGGAGAAAGAGGAGGAGTTGGAGGACAGACGGGCAAGGACGGCGACGATAAGAACGAGACGGAAAAGGAGGATGAGGAGGAGGAATATGAGGGAGGGTGACCAGGAGGAGGACGAGGAGGAGGAGGAGGAAGATGCGGAGGAGGAGGAGGAGGAGGAGGAGGAGGAGGAGAAGAGGATGGGGAGGTCCAGGAGGAGGAGGAGGAGGAGGAGGAGGAGGAGGAGGAGGAGGAGCAGGAGCAGGAGCAGGATGATGACGCGGTGGCGGAGGAGGATGTCGAGCAGGATGAGGAGGAGGAAGAGGCGGAGGAGGAGGAGGAGGAGTAGTAGGAGGAGGAGGAGGAGGACATAAGGACAATGACGGGGAACATAAGACAGAAGAGGAGCAGAGGGGACGCCCCGATACGGGCAGGACCCGAGGATGAGGACGAGGATGAAGAAGAGGACGACGAGACGGAGGAGGAGGAAAAGGAGGAGGTGGAGGAGGAGGAGGAGGGGGAGGAGGAAAACGAGAAGGAAGACGAGGAGGACGAGGAGGACGATGAGGACGATGAGGATGATGATGCTGATGATGCTGCTGATGATGATGATGATGATGATGATGATGATGATGATGATGATGATGATCAGGAGGCGCATGCGGATGATGATGAGGATGAGGCGGAGCAGGAGGAGGAGGCGGACGATGATCAGGAGGAGGAGGAGGAGGAGGGACGCTGCTGATGATGCTGTTGCTGCTGACGATGATGATGATGATGATGATGACGCTGATAATTATGATACGGGTATTGATGATGACGATGGTGATTCTGATTTGATTCGGGTGATGATGGTGATGCTGATGCTGACGCTGATAATGCTGATGGTGATGATGCTGATGATCATGGTGTTGTTGATGGTGGTGATACTGCTTATGCTGATGGTGATGCTGCTGTTCATGATAACGCGGATGATGAGGATGCTGATGAAATCGGTGATGTTGTTGACGATGATACTGATGCTTTCATTGATAACGGTGCTGGTGCTGATGCAGCTGATGATGATGGCGATGATGAAACTGAACCTGCTGATGATGGTGATGTTGATGATGATGATGATGTTGATGCTGACGATGCTGAGGCTGATGTTCATCCTGATGGTGCTGCTGAAGATTATGTTGATGATGATGAAGGTGATGATTGCCGATTATTTTGGTGATGCTGATGGTGCTGCTGATGACGCTGATGATGATGATGATGATGATGATGCTGATGACGATGATGATGATGATGGTGATGCTGATGCTGCTGTTG